TGGTGCCCCTGGCAATGGGGGCCTAAATACACCGGGTGGTCTCAAACATATGTTTTACTATGCTTTACTGGCTTTTTACTCATTTTGGCACAAAAGAGCAAAGGGGCGGAACCTGGCACTCCCAAAAGTAGGGTTTTGACACCCTCTGGATAAGCCCTCAAGAAAGGTTGTTTTGATAAGCCTTGGATGGAAGGACATCCTGCCTTTGAAGGATAATTTCTAAATGCCACCAAACAATTTACCATAAGGATGACAGATTGGATACACGGATTTAGGTTTCAACCCAACATGGTGTCCCAATGCTCTAGTTTGGGCTTTGGGCTGGCACGATGCTATAGGGTACCTCGTGCTATTCAGGAAGAAATATTTGCGTATAGCCAAGACCCTAACAGAAGCTGAACCAAAACCAGAGGCCAAACAATAATGCCTCACCATTCTGAGCCAAAACAGCAGCCCCCTCACACCACCCTCCAAATCACTCCAAACCCAGGAGTTCTATGGGTGATTCATGGTGATTCATGAGACGCAGCCCCTGAGGGGCTGCTCATCCACTCACCGGAGTCTAAACAACCCCGATCTGTCAGAAGTTCAGGGCAAGAAGTGAAAACCACGGGTAAAAACACATGAATTGCACTGCAAAGTTGTGCATCTGGAAGGTCAAAGGCAAGCGAAGGGGAATCATCAATACGTCGTCGAACACCGGAATCTTCTGGCGGAGAAGGAATTCAAATCTCTGTGCCACGACTTTACTGCCCATCTCCAGCCCTCCCTCGACTTTCTTGCGCTGACCCTCAGGGTCTGGCGCAGCTGAACAACCATTTCCAACCCTTCACACCTCTGTGCAGCAGCTCCTCAGAGCTGCCGGTCACACGAGCTCCCTTCGGGCTCCGCGGAGCTTGTGCGGAGCTTCCGCGAACCCCTCCCCGAGTACGCCGGGCTCGGTGCTTCCGCTGCGCCTGGCTCTCGACGTCCAAAGGCGCCACTCTCCGCATGTCCGACTGAGCCGGAGGTGTAGAGGATGGCAGGCTGAAGAGGTGGCAGAGTCGGGTCTCGAGAGATTCGATTCCTCCAAGTTCATCCATCCAACACGGGTCCCATTTCAACGCCTGCAACGGCTGGGTCACGCTAGGTCACAGGTGTTGGCAACGGCACATATATTAGAGATATATTGGGAAATATATAGGGCTCATACCACCAGTCCTCTCTTGGGAAGGTCCAGGTATATGGGGCTGAATGCGAACTAAAGGTCGACCGACCCGTGGTTCTCTAATTGAATTCCCTGACATAACCAGGATCCACTCCAGGAAAGGGTTCTGTAAACTGTCTTACAGGGTCTCTTGTCTGGTTTCTTACCCCCAACAAAGGTAGCAAACCTATGGCAAATACCATCAACATCTGCCAATGACCAACGATCTTCACACAAATGCACTTGGACCGACCTTTATGGTCATTTCGGAGGTCCATTCATTTGCAACTCGCAATCCATCGCTCCAAAACAAGGATCGAACTGGATCCAACGTATAAACTCTGAACTGTTTTGCTAAGTCTTTCTGCGATGCTTTCTTGATGATCAGTGATGTGTCCGTTCTCTGAAATGATGAAGACCGTCAGACCCATGTCATGACAGCATCAACGCCCAAAGATCAACAACCTGATTAGACTGATAGACCTACAAACCTGAAAGGAGCTTGACAAAACATGTTTACCACAAGTGCCAACAGGGTGGTTCATGATGGAGGATTGGCCAGGATAACCCCAGGTGCCCCTGTCACATCCACTCACTTCGAGTCCGACAACGGAACTCCTGGTATCTATAGACTCTATAACCCAGCAACAACCTGCTTGGAACCCTTTGCAACAACCTGCTTGGGAACCAACTCGCATTTCTGCTTCTTCTGGTCTCTTTCGGATGCTCCAAGTTCCGGTCCACGGTCCGCCAAGGGCGGTCTGGGCTCCGCACAGTGTCCTTGCGGGGCATCTGGGTCTTTCGTTCCTCCTGGGGCCGAGGAAATCTATCGTCAGGTCGGGGTCGAGCTCGAGGGGGTCGAGTAGTCTTCCAAGCTGTACTATTCCAATAAGCATGCTTTGAAGGGGAGTCGTTCTATGTTAGGAATCACGCTAACTATGTATCTAACTAATAGGTCACCTATTATCTGTATATTGTTGCTTCAAAACATCCGGCACTACTACATACCTATGATATAAATCAGGATGATCAAAATGCCGTGAAGAATTATACTGTATGATATTACATGTAACAACTTTCCAGGTAGTCTAGGATTATTTTCTGCCGACAGTCAGTACTCGTTTATTGGGGAGCCGGAGTACTCACTTTTCGTCTGATGATGCTTTCACATCTGTTCGAAGAGTATGTGATTTTCACCGGACATCGGATTCTGCACAGCTTCTGTGGCCTTGTCTCTATAGCTTCAGTCAGTTCTCTCAACAATTGAAGTAACAATCAATAGATGACAGTAACCTCCAAGCCCAACCAATGAGATCCAATAAGTGGAAGGCGCTTTCGCTAGAAACCAGGGAAAACAGCACCAACATCCTCAATGTTTTCATGGATTTTGAAGTTCCAGAAATGACAATGGTGACCTCGTTTTCACGGCTCGGAGCCATGGACTCGTGGCTCGCGCTCCTGCCCGCTACCGCCCGCGGGCGCCCGCACCAACCGGACCGGCGGGCAGCGTCATCTTCCACGCCGACCGTCTCTCGTGGCACCTCAATGAGCTTGATGAGCTCGTCGTCACTGAGATGTCGGCCGTGCACCTGCGGATGTGTGAGCGACGAGGTCGTGTGTATTCACGATGTGCTTGGGGAGCCAGCACAGGCAGCCAGGCGACTTGGAATAGAGATCCAAAAGCTGCGGTTTCAAAGAACTTTGAAGAACTCGCCAGATCAACCCAGGATGCAGCTGATATCATATAGCTATTTTCCGAACCACAATGAACCACGAACCAGGTCGTTGCGGACTCAGCTCTGTGATCTAGGACGACTGAGAGTTCAACAACACTGTCCCACGATCCCTCCATATCCCTCCATAGCGGTTGCCTGTAGGAGCTGGCTCTGGATCTTCGCCAGATCCTCTGCGCTGAGCTCTGCACCTTGAGAGCCGCACGAGCCCGCGCTGGCTCAACCAGCCCCAGTGTCACTGCCCCGGGATGGTGGCAGGAGTCATGTCTGATCAGTGGTCCGCGGTACGTAAACCGTGGCACAGGTACTTGAACCAAATCGTTTTTCTTGTTGACCCATTGGTTCTTGGCTGCAAGCTGGGAATATCGTGATGCCAAAGTAGATGGGGTAAAACACGATATCAATCCCAAGTACAAAGGCATTCTGATAGGAGTTTGTTCATACTCATAGGACTCATGGGCATCTGCAACGGCCTACCTATATGCATAAGTAAGCCTTTGCTCCTCCGCTTGTGCATGTGTTCTTTTATCATCTTCTATTTTAGGGGGCATGCATGCCTATGCCACCTATGCCACCTTTCCCCATGCTCCTTATATGTCTATCTCTGTGACTAACGTCAAGAAGGAGTCCAGTGCACATGGTCGTGGGATGTTGTCGTGTTCTGGTCCAGGGCCGGCGGTACTAGAGAGTTGTTCGTGCCTAAGTCTGTGGCGCCACCTGCTCTCAAACCACCAGGCAAGTCGCAGCCAGCCGTTCTCTTGGCAAAATAATGCTGTCTTATCTCTCTGCATGTGATAGAATCCCCAAGAGCATGTGCAAAGCAAACCATTTGTCCATATATATATATATATATGTTTTTTCTTTTAAAATCCAGCACGTCTTGGAAGCCACCATGACAACATAAAGCTGTCCATTGGCTGTGGAGACGATCAAACAAGCCTCTCTGAGGCTCTGCGACTCCGTTTCTGTCTTCAGGTCCGCAGCTGGGACGTTAGCGTGTTTCTTTGACGCCTGGGACCTGGTAGATGCCCATCCGATCATCCGATCATACACTATGGACGCAGGTAGATGCCCATGTCTGCGTAGACTCACTGAAGCCAGAGCTTCTTCTTGCTCGAAGTCTTCCTCCTTTTTTGAGGCCAAAAAGACACTTGGAACACTCCACTTGTTACGTCACCTGCTTGGTCCAAGCCAACATGCCCGGACATGGTTCCCCCGTAGGTCCGCATTACCTCCAGCCCTGCGTCCGACCAGATCCTTCCGAGGCCAAGCCACTGATGACACGGGTGCGCACAGGCGCCTCGGGGCGGCGCCGGTCGGGAGGGAGAGAGGACACAGGCGGAGGAGGACAAAGACCAACTGCTAGTTGGGTGAGTCAAACACATGCAAATATCATCAAATATCTATCATCATATTCTAAGTGCAAAGAACAGATTCCCTAAACGGAGACGGTGAAAAACCCGTTGTAACCGTTGTTCGGGGTTGTGCTTGAAAAAAGCCGTACCATGTCCTAGATGTTGGGAGCATGATCGATGAACAAATGACCGTTCTTGGGGCTGAGATCAAGCAGAGTCCAACACCAGCTAGACCAATGGGTTCTTATGAAAAACAAGCTGTGTTCATCATCATTTTTTGCTTCCGCAATCTTGGCCACATGTATACTGTATACTGTATACTATACACTCCGACTCACTAACATTGTAGTGCAAAACCACCTGTTTGTAAAGGACAGTAGTCTTCCAAGGGGTCATTTTCCACTTTAGTGTAGTGAGTCAGAGAGTACTGTATATGATAGTTACACACCAACTGTGATCTTCTCATCACGCAGGTCTACTTTCCCTCAGGTCAATTGACTGCCCCTTGACTTGTTTCTGGGCAAGAAGCTCAATTGCTTCATCCATCGCAACCCGTTGGGCTGTGCGGACTCCGTCTCTGGACATCTCCGAGGCCCTGGGCCAAGTGATTTTTCCATATTTTCATCCCCCATACCTTTCACGGGGGGGTCCTTCTGGCCATTTTATAGATATAAAATGGGGGACCCACCCTAAAGGTGACCGGGATGTATTTTCTGGACCTGTGACTTCTTTCACGGCAGTGCGATGGCGAAGGTTCACCCTACAAACAGCATCTTCGGGGCGACGTTGGTGGACCCAGTCGATCTGACAAGCTGAGCTCTGGGCATCCTCGTCATCATCCTCGCGCGCGCGAGTTGCGCGAGTTGCGTGAAGGGGAAAGACTTGAGGGCACCCATGCGGGCTTCCACAACAAAAAGACACAAGGAGCGACTGTTCATCGAAGACCTGAGTGAAGACCTGAGAAATCCCCTATCAGTACGTATCAGTACTGGTGCAACTTACGAATGGTGCGAAAGTGACCCAAAGGCTCACTCTCACAACTAGGGTTTTGGACCGAACCAACAATGTAGCGGTTGCTTCGGGTCCATGATGGTCCATGAGCCTCTGGGACCAATGAGCCTTGCGAGTCTTGCTGGATCAAAGTTTGGTCACAGCAGCTACATGCTCTCCAATCTTACCACGTATATGTATATATATATATATATCGGATCCAGTTGCCACAAAGGTTGGGAATCAGTCCCAAAATGAAAGAGAATTAGACCCTGAAACCCCTGATCATTTGCCAATTTCCAGCTGGCTGAGATTCACTGCTTTGAAGTTGCTCTGGAGTTGTTATAGGTCAAAGGATCTTTCTGCATTCGTTCTGGGTCACCAATAGAACGACATTGTAGGCACTCCGGCCACACCCAGAACAAATCCTCACAACAACTCACCACCTTCTCATCCTTAATGACTATTGATTAAACCACCCCATATGAAGAGCTTCTTCAAACGGAGGGGTTCACTCAATCAAGAGTCTACATGATCCATCCTTTAAATCAGCCGTCCGATTCGTAACCACACGCTGTTCTTCTCCGGTCGAGCCCAGCACGTGGTCTGGCGGTTCTCCTCATCTTCGGTGCGAAAGCCAAAGTATCCTCGGTCCTCAGACGTGGCCGTGGAAGGTGAGACGGTTCCAGCTGGAAGCGGGGTGGTCAATCTGATGCGGTGTTTTTTCTCTTGGTAACAAGAAGCTAGTAACAAGTGCATCGTTACTAGTAACACGTGCATAACTAGTAACTAAGAAGCTACGAACGTAGCGATGTAGCGATGAGAACTCCTACGTCTGTAACCCGTGTTCCAAAGCTCGGGGAAGGAGTTAAACTTTTAAAAGCTAGACGAACCAACGAACCAAACCTAGGTTGGTTGCGGGGGTCCGTGTTCGGATTACACACCTACACGACCAAGCGACCAGAAATGGTTGGACCAGAAATCAGGCTCTGCAGCTTTGTACTCGTACTCCATGAGTAGAATCATTCTGTTGAATCCACATGGGATAAAAACTAACATACTAAGCCAAAAGAGAATTTGCAAGTTCACACCATGCACATTGAAATTGATAGAAATGCCGGACCTAGCAAAGTGGCAGGTCATCCTTATGGCCAGAAAAGTTGGCACGAATACTATCGAAGCTTGCTGATTAAGCTGACGTAAGGTCAAGGTGGGTATCATGTTCTTGAGCACTGCATCTGCCATCCAAATGTGTCGGCCTTGCATAATTTTATTTTATGTCGTTCTTCTCCTAAGCTGAGATGGCCTGGTACAAGATCTTAAACAAACCACTTGATGTAGAATCTTGATTAAGTTAAGAACCCCCCATTTCGATTGTATCTGAGTAATGACATGTAATTACTACACTGAATGAACATCGCTGCTTCTCACCTATAGAATCCCACTTGTTCGATACCATTTTGCTCCGCCGTATATAGGCCCAAAACCGGACGTGCTGACGTCATCCACCCAAAAGGTTCCAACGATCCTGGGTGCCTGAAACAGCTTAAAACAAAAAAACGGAACAAACCAAACCAGGAGTGAGGTGGATGGGCGCCCAGACACTCCTATCAACGACCTTAATTACTTTAAAACTAATGCACATTTATTGCTTCTACTATTATTATGCGTATTATGTCTATATATAAATATATATATATAATAAGTATTTGTGTGCACGTGCGGACATGAATGATACTACCATGCACGTGTTATTCGTATTGTTGCTGTTACGAATGTGTTGCCTATGTCCAGCTGCTGGCCACACCAGCAGGGCCAGGGATATGTTCCGAGCAGATATGGACTTCCTGAAATCAACAATAAACATCAATAAACTAATACTCTTCATGGAAGAGTATCAAACATCAACCTTCCACATGGTCAAACGATGTTGTTTTGAAACACCGACGACTGACGACTGTCGAATCGGACGACGGACGACGGACAGCCCCCCTGGCCCTTCCGGGATCCCGGACAGCCAAGTAGGCGATCTGTCGAGTGAGTTACCGCGGAGGAGGTGAGAAGCGGCGATGAGGTCGCCGTTTTCGGAAGTGAAGGCTGACCATCCACGGTTTCAACCAGCGATGTGCAGCAAGGAAGTGTCGAGTTAGCACCTGCAACTTGAATCAGTGTTGAGTAGAAAAGGGAAGTGGGAGGACCTTCAAAACTGCAGGTGATGAAGTCACCACCCGTTGAAGGAAGAGCTGCAATTTTGGTCAGATACCAGCTTTGAAGGTCTGCCTTCAGGTCCACTTCCTTACCCGGAGAATTTCATGGGCCAATATTGGTTCTGCTACATGGACTCAGACCATTGAAAAACCTGATCATTGGAGTCCCTATTTAGTGTTCTTGGACAGGGGAGCTACTCTAATGCCATAAGGCCATAACTAAACACTGCAAGATCTTCAAGTGTGGAATGGATCCTCCTACACTGATTCCTAGCAACCGATCAAACACAAAACATGGAAGACCAGTGGACCAGTCTTCACGCCTTTCTTGCAACTAAGCAACTCGGCACTTTTGATCGTGGCAACCAGTACCCAATCAATTTCCAGATTGAATGGTCCAGGCCTTCTCGTACAAAGCATACTCACTGCGGCCTATTGGACTAGATATGCATGAGGTCTAAACATGTCAAAACCAAACTGAGTACTGTTTACTGCCTCGGGCTCCCGACATATTCTACTCTAGGGAACATCTGAGTTCCATTGTTCATTCACATAATGGTGAAACGACAACAAACCAAACGCGCAACAAAACAGTCACACACCAGAAAAAAAAGACCGAAACGCTGTAAGACCACTGGGTGCCGGACACTGATCAGCATCCAGAAGAAAATGAAGGTAAAGACACCTCCGCCAAGAAGCTACCGGATGGTTGGTTGTACGTTCGCTGCGCCTGCTACGGCGCTGTTATTGAGCGCGCTGAGCACCGTTGCTATTGATGGAGAATATGCTATTGGCACCGACTGCGACTCAAAAGATCTCAATAACATCCTATAAGTAGAAACTGTGGTTTTCATTCTCCCAGGTGCTGCCAATGGCGTCTTAAATGGGACGACTCTTTCTTCTTCGAGCATTGCTCCGCCACTCGGCACCATCGAGCGTAGCATCGATTCGCGTCGGTTCCATTGGAAGGTCCTAGAAGGACTAGAAGGACTTCCGCATAGATAGAGAACCACCCGATACAAAGGTCACCCCCGGCCCTTGCCACGTTCAAAAACTGTTCCAACACCCAACTCATTCATCGCTCGACGGACCCGGTCCCACCGTTAAGGTCGTCCGGTCCACGCCCAGCTCCCCTTTGGCGTGTACGACCGGGTCGTTTTCACCGAGAAGTCGCACACCGCACGTCGCATGGCGCCGCGCCTTCCCAGATCTCCACGATGTTGGGACTCGCCACCTCGGCCGGAGCGGATCAGCGGCCGGACTGGGAGTGTCGGGAGGTGCGGATGCGGTTCTTGCGTGCGTTTTTTTCGCAATGGGAGAGAGGTCCTCGCCCTCGTCCTCATCTTGTGGACCCATGGCGGTTTCCAAAGAGATACCAAACTCCAGGAGGGTTCGTTGGAACCGTATGAGAATGAGAACGCCAGGAAAACTGGGCCTGGGGTCGGTGTAGGGGAGCCTGCTCCAGGCTGGACTCAACTTGACCCTCCTTAAAGCATCTTAAAGCTATAGCATGTGCTCTGCGAACTCGTTCTCTTTTAGTTTTGTGCTTGAAGATGCGGCAAAGTAAGATGCACCGCGAGAGCTAAAGGTTGCTTATGGCTTTGAAGTGACAAGTGTCAGGTTTTGTAACCCATGCAGGGCTTTGAAGGGCTCGGTGGACTTCCACACCACCATTTGAGATTGACAAACGTGGTTGATGGCTGTGCGTTTTCCGACGACAAGCATGGACATTTGTTTGTGGCGGCCATTAAGTGACCTGCACTTCTTCGGCGCTTCCGGCAAATATCTCAGTCCCCACAGAACCTCAGCCATCTTTTGAGGCCAATCGAGGTTCATCACGCTCACTTATCTGTGCCGTGGCCATGGCCATGCATATATTGCATATAATAATAGGCCCATAATTAACAATGGGTTGCAGCGCTCGGGAAGCTTGCATGTGAAGTTTGGCTTGAACTCCTTGGCAAACTTCCACAGAACAGGAAAAGACCTGCGCCTGCCAACCGGTTTTAATCCTTTAGCGTCACCTGACGGGTGACTTGTTGTTTGTGTTTTGTTGGCTTTTTTTGAATGGCTTCCACCTGACCCATCTGCTTCAAGCACATGTTCTGTGCAGCTGACAAGCTCAATAACGAGAGCACCGCTACATGCCTGACAAGGTGTCCTCGTTCCAGCTGGTGTGACTACTCACAGCTGCTGTCCAAACCTGGTTCGGTCCGTTCTAACTCGTGCTGACGACGATTTGAGCCCAGACGGTGAATCGTTGCACCGAAGCATGCGGCTTTTGATGCACCGCCCCGGTGATTTGATGTGCTGCGACGTTCTGCTTCACCACGGGTTTGCGATCATTCCCTTCCACTGGTGGGGGTACCTGGAGGTCAAAAGTGAGAAAAAACATGCATTCCTCTATATCCCTCTGCATGGGGACTCTTGCCTCTTAACCTGTTACAGGATGACCCAGCTTGATGGGAAAAGCCCCCGACTCGATGGGATCAGGATCTCCGCCCGACTCTGTCCAATCGCTGAGCCACGAGGAGAATAAAGAGAAGCCACACATAGGCCTCGGCAAGGCGGGTGAATCGTGTGTTTGCTTTTTCTACCACTACTATCGGAATTGATAAGCAACTGCTTGTGCTCAAAGTTTTGATTAATTGAGGAGATAAGCAACTGCTTGTACTCGTCACCATGTTGATTTTTTTCAAGAGTGCGCGGGCTAGAATGTCGGTTGTTGTGGGCTTGTGATTATTTTTTTTACGCATTTTGAGGTATACAGTATACATGTTACAATGTGCGAGTCACACCACAAGCTTGGCCAAGTCCCCACCATCAAGGTTTCATGCGTACAACAGTCAACAAGACACCTTCATTGACCTCAAACCGTTTTGTATTGCATAATACACACACATAATCACACATACATACCCAAACACTCCATGTATATCCATGTGTGGCGCATTGGCCTACATTGGGGTGGGAAACCAGGAGTCAATGTGGGCTTCAATTCCATACATGGAGTGACTGGGATACAACACACAAGATGACAGAATTCCAAAGACATGAGTAGTTCAGATTGTCGTCCAGCCAAAAATGCGAACGTGCGACCGTTGCGATTGGATGGTACAATAAAGTCCTTGTGTGCATTGGTAGCCGTGCTTATGGTCCTTTGAACCCTATATAACAGCTAGGGACTCAGCTAGGGTGTACCATAATTTGGAAGATTATTAAACTGTGACTGTCGCAGAAATGGTCCAATCAAGTTCACGATTCATAAAGGCAACACGAAAACAACAAATCAGCACCACCCAGTTTGGATGGTTCTTGGATGGTAAACATCATGGAATTTGAGGGGTTTATAAACCATGGCTGGAAGGTGCAAACAAGTTTCCATGGTGCAAACAACTCAGCACCATCGTTGTGTTTTGAAATGCAACGATTGTATATTACGTATGA